TATGGCAGGCTTGGTGTTTATTCCGCAGGTGATGTTCGTCATTATACTTTTCTTGCTTCGCAGTTACAGTCTGCTGGGTTGCAGACGAAGCTTCTACGGCATGCTGGTGTTGTTGGCCTTGGTCGAGCTTTTGAGGATGCGTTGAGCCTGTTCAATAGAACGGTGGAGTCTGAGATTTTGAGTAATCCTAGTGAGGTCGCTGCCCCTAAACTCATGAAGAAATTGGCAGATATATATTTCACAAAGGTTACCGTTTCTGCAGAATCCACCTTCTCTTTATCTCCTCGTCAATCAGCATTGTGGAAATCGCAGTAGGGAGATCACACCTCTGCTTGGCTTCGGGCGGTTCCTATTCCGGAGTTGGGTCAGACGATGAACGCAAAGACTTACCGGTGTGTGTTGTGTACCGCTTGGGTGTTCCGTTGTTCTCTGCCTCGACGCCGTGCTCTGCTTGTTCAAGGGTTTTTACTGGGGATTGTTTCGGTGATCATGCAGTGTCGTGTGTTGGTATAGTGGGTGTTAAATATCGCCATAATGTTGTGCGGGATACCCCTGTTGATGTTTGTTATCGATCTGGGATTTCAGCTAGAAAGGAGGTCGACATTGGGTTGTCTGGAGGGAACGACGGGGCCTCAGACCTGCAGATGCGTTACTTCATTCTTGGGATCGTGGTCGCGATGTCTGTGTTGACTTGACAGGGTCTTCTCCTTTGACACAGTCTGGGTTATCTGGTTTTGTTCCTGGACGGGTTGTGGCTGATGCAGCTCGTCGGAAGCGGGTCAAGTACGAATCCAGTTGTTGGGCAATTGGATATGACTTCCTTCCTTTCTCTTTCTCTACATTTGGAGAATTAGAAAAGGAGGCGGTTGCTTTGTTGAAGCGGATCCAGAAGTACTCGAAGACTCAAGACATTGGAGCACGTGCTGCTGCTCATATCTTCACTAGAATAGGATTTGCTATAGCTAGAGGAGTAGGGGCCCAGATTGTATCTCGGCTTCCCACTAATTTTTTGTAGGTTGTATGGCTTTGTCTTTTTTGAGATAATAATAATAATAATAATAATAATAATAATAATAATAATAATAATAATAATAATAATAATAATAATAATAATAATAATAATAATAATAATAATAATAATAATAATTCTGAAATCAACTCTGTTGTGTCCTGCTCTGCTTTGCTTTGCTAAAATCTGCTCTTCTCTGCTAAAATCTACTTTGCTCTGCTCTGCCCATAAACTCAAAAGAGCAGGGCCTTACTCACATATGATATTTACCTTTGTTACCTCACTTTTACTCTCTCAAGCTCTTTTATTTGTAATCGCATTTTGTTACTTTAACCTTTTTTAAACATTGCCACACTGGTGAAGAAAGATCGTATTATTCAGACAATTTTTACACTTACATACTACTTGTACAAAACAAAAAACATATTTCAAAAACTCGAGTCGATGTATTTCAGATTATTTTTTACTTGGGTCTTTTCGTGTCAACTAGTTCAAACTGAAATCGATTTGTGTCGTTAGGACAGATCGAGTAATTTTGGTTTGGGTCATTTCGGGTGTGAATACTTTTGTTGGTGTACATATTACGCTTAAGGCTTCATGCTCGGTGCCCTCGATTGGTCTGATGTAAGTGTCATTTTGAGAAATCGAGTTATTTCGGTTTGGGTCATTTTGTGTATGAATACTTTTGTTGGGTGTATATTACACTTAAGGCTTCGTGCCCCCATTTAGTCCGATGTACTCTCTCCGTCCCATAATTCGTGTCTATTTTTTGGGTATATGTGTATTTTGTATGGAAAAGATAAAAAGTAAATAATGATTATTTGCTATTTTTAAAAACAGGCACAACATTAAGGGACACCAGAAAAGAAATACAAGCACGAAATTATGGGACGGAAGGAGTAAAACATTTTCCTTATTTTGTAAAAAGCGGGCAAAGTTTTAACAATTCGCATTCATTTTTCGTCATTGAATGCGGAAAAAACAAGAAACTTCCGGAAGTTCAGTTTAAGCCCATGGCTCACGATGCCATCGTGACTCTTGACGGCATATTAACATCTGCTCCAAAAACCCTAAAACAAAACCTCACCTTTACTTACGCCACTCTTTAAATCTCACTTGTTACTTACCCCATCTCATTATGATTCACCAATCTCTTCCCTCTCTTAAACCTCAAATCCCTAATTAGGGTTCATCAATTCCGTATTTTTTATTGCCTTATCTTCAATACTCTCATCGATGTCCTTATTCATTCGATCCAATCGATTATTATGTTATCTAATAATCGAATTCTTAAAGCATGATTAAGGCCATTGATGAGGGTATTCAAGCTAATTTCCTGGCAATTTGGTTATTTTGTTGAATTCGATTTGCTTTCTGTACTTTAATCAATCGGCCTTAGTTATCTTGCTTTTTAATTAGCCTTAATTATGGCCATTGATTAAGGTATTGAAGATTAAATCGCTTAATTTTTATCAGCTTCATCATCAGAATCTCAACCCAATTCGACATGGTAGTATTCAATTATTCATCGATTTTTTATTTCATTGTTACACGTTTTTTATTAATCTTATTTCGTTCTTATTGATTACAGCATGATTTCAAAGTGTTGCGAAAAATTGATAATTATGAAATACTAATATTTCAGATCTGTAAATTAGGGTTTCATGATTGAATTGTAAGAAAGAAGCTTCATTTACTGGTTTATGTGGAATTTCAATCACATTTGACTCGTTCCCTTGAAGCAATATCTGTATGTGTTGCTTTATGTATGTTTCTCCTTTTGCTTATTTACCATTAGCTTTGGAGGATATTGAGGCAGCTAAATTTCAATTCTTTCTGTGTTTTAGTTTTTTTTTTTTTTTTTCCTCTGATTTTTTGTTACTAATTAAAAAAAAAAAGTTAAAAAGTCCATGTGAATTGTGGATTCAAGTTGAAATGAATGATTTGTTGCTAGTTTTTTAGGGGCAATGTGTTGCCTTTTGTTCTTGTAAGTGTGGTATAAACCCTTTGCAATTATAAGAGATTTGAAATCAAATTTAAAGTTTCATTCTTAATTAGATAGAGTGTTTGGATTTCTGTTTATATGACTTGATAGAATTTAGTGGTTATTTTGTGCCTTTTAACATGGTGAACTCATTATACAATGCTTGAATCTAATGTAGTTTTGATCAAATGGGCATTTTTATGAGGGAAAATGGGCTCATATTCACCGGAGTGTAGTTAGTAGTTGCTAATTGTAGTGTTTGAATTAGTGTTCAATTATATGCTGTCTGTGACTTTGGCTGCAAAATTGAGTTGACAATTTTTAGTTTTATTGGGCTCTAAACTATAACTGCAATTTGGAAATTTGGTGGTAGTTTGCGTTTTCAGTGTTGAATCAATGAGTCCTTGAATCTGTTGATTCATTTGATCATCATAAGGTTTTGATGTCCTCGTATATCATGAATATCTTGTTTATTATGTATACGATTCTTACTTTCTCTGTACAGAGTGGTAGAAATCTTTCGGACATCCTCCACGCAGGCTAAATTAACCCGGGGCAATAAATGTTGCTGCCATGTAGTTTAATTTGGGATGTGAATTCTGGTTGCATGTCTCCAAAGCTCATCGCCCAACAGACTGATCGAAAGTTACAAAATAACATAAGCCTTGTTGGAACAACACTTATGATAACTGCTACTATTACTACTTCTGGTCTGTATGAACATAGTGTCTTAATGACACATAATTACATAATTTATCTATCTAGCTTTACCCCTTTTACCAAAAAAAAAAGCCTTGAGTTGCCAGTGTGCCACACAAATACACAATATGCAGGGCTACTCGAGTTGACTTTTACTAAATTGTTGCCCTTGTGTTGTTGAAGGGTCTATATCCTTGATTTTATGGCAAGAGTGAACTGTTGCTGAATACTGGTAGTTTAGGATAATGTTAGCATTTACGGGGCGTTTGGCATAAGGATAGAGAATTGATAGGTGGGATAAGGATAAAAATTATGTTATTCATTGTTTGGTATAATTTGAAAATTAAATTAGAATAAGTAGTAAAATTACTTAACTATCCTTACTGACATTTTTCTCTCCTTTTCCCCCCCCTTTTCATTCGGGGTAAAATTGTCTTTTACTTTTCAATTTAATCCTTAAACTTTATACCTATCCCTTTTTATAAAAATAAAGGGATAATTCTATTTTTTATCTTTTATATGGGATAAAACAATTCCCATTAAACAAATAAGAGATTATAAGATGCAAGGGATTATTTATCCCTATCCCACCATTTATCTCTACAAACAAACAACTAGTTAGGTTACAGAGTATAAAAGATAGTTCAGAAATTTCAATATAGGGTACTATTTCAATTATTATGTTTAGACAAAGATCTATTTGTATAGATTGCAATCTTGGGCTCTTTCCACTTCTAGAAGTGTAATTGTTCAGTGGATTTCTAACATTAATGCAAATACAGCTCTAAAATTTGAACAAATAATTAATTGCTACTCCCTTTTTTTTCAGAGAGATAAATCCTTTTTCCATTTGTAATTTTGGTGCTAATTAACGTTGTCATATTTGATTTTATTTGATTGTTTATACTTATTTTAAAATAATGTGCAACTCAAGATAATTATGGTTAAAATAATGTACTACCTCCAGAAAATATTATATCCAACTTTTGTCAAAAACGGAAATTTCATATTAGATGCAAGTATGCAACTTTCCATTCTTAGTAAATTTTTTAAATGAAATTACTGTTTTACCTTTACTAAATTTCTTTAAAACTTAGTTAGACAACTAAACTATGGTTATTAAAACACTTAATCTAGCTAGATTAAATTAAATACTCCCACCAAAAATTATTCAATCCTCCAACTAACTCATTAAAATCGCCCAACTTTAAAAAATAATAATAATAATAATAATAATAATAATAATAATAATAAATAAATCAATGTGGGCCAACATTTCCCCAAATTTTTCTGGGATTAAAACCCTAAATCGAGTTCTTCTACGTTCTTCCTGCTTCCATCTTCTCTACTGCACTTTCTCTCTCCTGCCATTGTTCTACGGCTTCTTCCTACCTTCACCTTTTCTCTCCACTATCTTGCTCCTTATTCCCGAAATATGTCGGCACCCAACTCTATGTCGCTGTTTTAGGGAGTGAGGATGAACAAGAAATCGGGCTGCTCGGCGCTTTAGTTGACTCTATTGAGCGCGGCTCTCCGTCGGTTTGTCGTCGCTTCACTTCTGGTGAAATCGGTGACGTTTTGAGTGTTAATTCCGTAAGAGCTTTAGGGAAAGTGCTCAGATCTGTTGAGGAAGAAGAGAAGGCAAAGAAAAAAACAAATTGCTCTAGAAATCGACCATGAAAAACCGGTTTCCAAAGAGAAGGTATGTGGGGGTTCTTCTTCCACCAGAAAGCGCAGATCTATAATTCCATCAACTCCCACAGTACCGTTATCAGTGCTAAGAAGAATTCGTGGTCCTGGCACAAAAATCGTAGATCTTATTGAAGAGGAGGAAATGAAGGCTGCCTCTGGTACTGCTGACAATAATGAACCAAGATCTGGGGAAAAACGTAAGAGATCTGGACAGGAAGTCCTTGTTTCTGCTGATATTGAGGGAATTTGACCCAAAACATCACCCGCCTGAATGAGTTCTCAGCGTAACAGTTTCTAAACCCCTTATAATGTTTATTTTGATGCTTGATGATTATGCTTAATTGTTATTCTGTTAATTTTGTTTGATGATTATGCTTAATGGTGGTTATGCTATTAATTTGATTATGCTTGATGATTATGCCATATTATAATGCTTGATGATTATGCCAATGCAAATTATTATGCATGATGATTATGCCAGATTATTATGCATGATGATTATGCTTGTTGATTGGGCCAGATTATGGTGCTTGATTATTTTGGGTGATGATTATGGTTGATGATTAATTTGGGTGATGATTATGGTTGATGATTACTTTGGGTGATGATTATGCTTGATTATGCCAGATTATGGTTGAATCTGCTTGATTAAGCCATATTATGGTTGATTATGGTTGAATCTGCTTGATTATGCCAGATTATGGTTGATTATGGCAGAGGATTATGCTTTATTATGCTTGATGATTATGCTTGTTGATTGGGCTTGAGGATTAGGCTTGAGGGTTATGCTGTCGGTTATGCTTAATGGCTATTCTTGATGATTATGATGATTGTTTTGCTTGTTAGATGTTACTGGTTTTTTTGGGTTTTGGGGAGTCAAGTGGTTGTTGGATGATGATGTCTTTGGTGTAATGGTCTCAATGAAAATCATTGAGGGGCCTTGTGTTTTGGTTTATTGGTCTCAATGACAATTATTAAGAGACCTTGGTTTTCTACGCATATAGGAGTCCCGAGTTTTGGCTTTGTGAATGAATTAGAGTCCCTTTTTTTGTTATAGTTGAGGTTAACTCCTAAATCAAGTGATGAAGGGACTCATAAGATCCTAATAAGGTTATGTATGATGCTCCTATAATGTGTTCCTAATGTTTGTTGAGGTACCTAACATGATCATACAAAGGTTATGTAGGGATGCTGCAATATTTGGTTAACACATTATTGTTGAGGTAGCATATATGATCTCGTGAGTTTTGATAGAAATCAGTGGACTGACAAAACTTATTCAATTGCTGATGTTTATAAATGGTTACAAGGAAATATACCTGATGTTAGCTGGACACTCAGGATTTGGAGTAAATTCAATATCCCAGATTGAGAAACAAGCTTTTCAAGCTTAGAATCTGTCAGGAAGAGGTCTGTTTGCTCTGTGACTCTAAACCTGAAACCCTTTATCATCTGTTTTTCAATTGTAACTACAGTCAAATTTGTATGAAGAGTATTTGTGGCTGGATTGGTGTGAATTATAGGGTTTGCAGCATTGATAATGCTTGGAAGATGTGGATCAGAGGTTTGAAAGACCCTATTAAGAAGAAGGTGGTGCTTGCTATACTTACTACCTTATTATATCATATATGGCTTGTCAGGAATCACTCTTATGGGCAAAAAGTTGTTATTCATCTTGATAAGCTTTGCAAAGCGGTTCGTATGGAAGTTATGGAAAGAAGTCAGCAACTCATAAACAAGAAGTGGACTAGAGCTCAAGTTCAATGGCTCTACAATCTTAGGAATTCTGTGTAGTTCTTGTTTTATTTCCTTGTTTTGGTTTTCTGCTGCTTTGTTAGCTCTTTGGTTTTTTGTTTTGTTTTCGTTGTTGTTTTGGCTGTATATATGTTTGGTGGTTGTTTGGCCCTTGAGGGCGTTGTAGTTTGGTGGTGAGGGCTTGCCCTCTTTCTTTTGGTAATAAAATATTACTTACCAAAAAAAAATGAAATAAAACTATTTCGTTTGTGTACCTTTTAATTACGAACTAATCAACAATGTTGATCCTCGAATTCAAATTAGCCCAAAGATTGAACCGGGTGGAACACCAAAAAAAAAAAAACAATGTCGTTTGTTTTTGTTTGCAATAATCCTTAACATTTGAAACTTATGGAAATGAAGTTTGAGAAAGATTATACAATACAACATGTGAAAAATATACATGAAATATCTTTACAAAATTGATCAACCCACCCTATTATGTAACACCCTCAAATCTCCCTCTATGGAAATACCACTATAATACATATATTTATACCGTAGAGATCAACTTAGACATGTTACCGCCGCATGATTACACAAGGCTACTCAAAATACTTAACTCAATAACAAAACTTGCAGCGGAAAACTCAACTTTCTTTTATTAATATTTATAAAATAGTAACATTGTTATGAGTACTCAAAATAAAGACAAAACCAACATTCCTAAACTTGGTGAAGCAAATCTTAGGACTCCCATATGCTCATTCATGACTCCACCCGAAAATAGTCAACACTGCTTACCAATAAGGTAACGAACCAAAACAAATAGGAAATACGGATTAGCAAAATATGCTAAGTACGATAAGTGCAAGATAAGTAAACTCAATTTATTAGCAAACAAGCTTCTAAAACCAGTTCCAATAATTAATCCAATAATTCCAAAACTCATGATTCAAAACCAATTCCAATAATTCAATAATTCGATAAAACGATTTATAAAACCAATTCCTCTTTTTAAAACCAATTCTTCACCCAAGTATGCACACCCCCCAAACTAGTGTCTTTATATTGAAAGGATATCCTTGAGGAAAGACTCGGTCATACAAAGTCCAAAGCCTTAAACCAAATCCGCATAGTTGGATTACTATCATCATGCTTGTAAAGCTTAAATAAAAATTCAATAAAACCTCTTTAATTCAATAATTCCAATCTTTATAAGAGTACAACACAAAAACTCCTTTTTATTTAATTCAACATGCTTTCGAAATCAACCTTTTAAAAACATGATAAATAATTTAATCATTCAAAACATGATAAAAATCATTCCTTCAAATTTATTTATTAAAACCAATTTCTTTAAAACATAATTTATTTCGCAAACCATAATTCAAATCAATTTAATTAAAATCACACAAACATGCTTATTCATTCAATCAATTTCAAAGGTATCTAGCCACCTAAGCGTACCTTGATTTCGAATCTCAATCAACACTTCTCACTTTCAAAGTTCAATCACGAATACACCTTCCAAATAACATAACCACAAGGTTATCACAACATAGACATAAACCGAATCTAATGTGCATGGACTATAAAACTCTTTAAAAATAATACTTTAATATAAAAGTATAGCTTTTAAATAAGTATTTATATTTTAGAAAACTAACCATGAAGAAAATGAAGGAATAGGATTAAAGAGAATTGAATTTGCGTTGGAAAGAACAGGCAGAACTTGCAAAGGCTATAATTTCTTCAATATAACTCCTAATTGGGTGATTCTTGAGCCTAACCTCAAGGATTTTTGGAGAGGAACAATTTTTTGTGAAATATAAGTGCCCAAAAATTAGCTCCAAAGATATACGGGTTGATTTTCTTTAAGAAAAGTAGGAAAAGGTTGAGGGAAAAGAAGAGTAAGAGAGAAGAGAAGAATTGAATTTTTGGTGTGACGAATATGAGAGGTATTAGGGGGCATTTATAGGCTCATGAATGAAATAATTAAGGTAAGATTTTGTAAGAAAAATTATGGTAAATTTAGTTTAAGGAATTACTTGGAAAAGAGAGTTAAAGAATTTAGGAAAGTCTAGTTTATGGTGATTAAGAAATGAAGAAATAAGGTAAGTATGTAGTCATGAAATATTAAATGGTAAATGAATTTGCTTAGGGAATAATCAAGAATGATTTAAGGCAAATAAATTGTTTGATCAAATCTTTGTGAGATGGACAATAGGAATTAAGGAAATAAGGAATTTAAGGAAAATAACTAAAATACAAAACTAACAAATTAACCGAAAATTAACGTATGGTGGCCGAAAATATTGAGCATATCCATGCTCATATTTTCGGACCTCCACTACTAGTTTTAGGAAAAAATTTGCTAGATTTTAAGGATTAAAAATAATTGTGTAAATAATATATTTTGTAGAAAATAATTAATTAGAAAATTTTAACTTAAAATTAATTTAATTAACTAATAAAAATCAGATTTCTACACTAGAAAATCCGAAAATCTCATTAATTAATTTAGAAATTTCGGCCCTTTAATTTATAAATAAGAATATAACTTTTGTTAATTAAAATATCCGAAAAATATATATATAATTCGGTTTTTATTAAAATAAATGGATAATAAATCTTATCCAAAATCCAAAATAATCATTGAGTTTTGAAAATGTAGTTGGCGCCAAAATTCAAATATCATTTTGGCTTCAAAATTCAAATAGATAAATAAATTACTAAAATACCCTTTTTAGAAAATATTAATTAATTAATTAATTGGAAAATACGTCAAAAAAATATGGGGTATTACAGTCTACCCCTCTTAAAAGAAGTTTCGTCCCGAAACTTAGTAAAATAAAGAAATCGATTTTAAATCTTAGACTCATTCACATCTTAACCAGACTCAAGATCATAACTAACTCAAGAAATACTCAAAATTACTCAAAAATGACTCAAAAAGCAAACACGTGAAACTCTATCGCACTCTACCCCCCTTAAAGGAGTTACGCCCCCGTAACTCTGTTGGGTTTCATAGCGTCCAACGCTACGCAGAAGAGAAACCCGCCCAAGACCCGCCCTAATAATTAAAGCAATAAAGCATGCATAAACATAATTAAACAATAATTAAGAGAAGGGATAAAGAGGTAATACCCTTGAAGCGTGCTTCGCTCGTAAACCAAGCTCTTACTTCGAAGCTTAAAGCCTCACAAGCGTGACAGCCTCCAATGGCTCGTACCCACGACCCGACTTGAATGATCTTCGCCTCGAGGGTTAGTCGAGACTTGACCAAGTATAAAACTAGAGTTTTACGAACTTAAAGGTTTTCTCAATAATAAGAGATGCCTTTTTAAGTTCCACTCAAGTTGTATTCCAAAATGCCCAATAATGGGGTATTTATAGGGAAATGCAACTTGTTCTTCCCATTCATGATCAATGTGGGATAGTTGTATTTTCTACTAATTTATTTAAATCAAAAATAATTATAAAACAATGCAATCAACAAGTGGCATGAGGAAATGAGAGGTTAGGTGAGGACCATAACCATGGGGGGACCATTGCCTTGCTCCCCAAGGCATGGCTCTAAGCCTTGGTCCCCACTCTCCTCAAACTGGCATCAAGCAAGGGGTGAGCTGGCTGCCAGCCTTGCTGGCCAACTAGCACAGCCAGCCCAGCACAGCTAGCACGCACCAGCCAGCACGCCTAGCACATGCGTGCTACTAGCGAGCCACGCATGCTGCTGGGTGCTGGGCGCTGGGCGATGCCTGGCATGGTGCTGGCCCCTGCCACACGCACACATGCACAACATGCTTGTTGGCTGGTGCGTGGCGATAGGCCCAGGCACACACACGCACAACACAGCGTGCTTGCTGGCTGATGCGTGGTGCTGCGCCATGCTGCCTTGAGCATGTGCCTAGCAAGGTAGGCATGCTATGGCGCGGGCATGTACCAATTACATGGAGAGATACAACTAGGAGGAGGAAGAAAATAGCATGTTTATGCATTGTTTGATACAATTTGCCAATTTGGTGTAGGAAATTAAATTGTGAGTTTAAAGACTTTATTTTTTATGGGATTTAAACCTAAACTTTTATTTGCTTTTATAGGGCCAAGATAATGGAAGATTATTGGACTAGAAAACTCTTTGTTCAAAGTTGAATATAGGCTTCTATTTTTTGGGAAAACCTCCAACCTTTTCGCGGTAGTTGGCAAGCAATTCATAATCAGGAGATTAATGGGGGACTCCTAAATTAAAAAAACAAGTACTTTTTCTGTTCTTTTTTACTTGACCTGTTTCTTTTATCACGCTTGTCAATACAAAACTTTAACGATCAATAACTTTAAATCTCCATAAGTAAAAATTATATAATATGATAGTACTTATTGAGACGAATTCAAAAAGATCCTGCATGAATACGTTTTTTCTTACATATTGTCACAAAAGAAGGTCAAAGGAGAGGTGGTGAATGGTGTAAAAGTCAAGGTGGGTCTAGTAAAAAAGAACAGAGAGAGAACGTAACAAATTATACGGAGTATTTTAGAAATTATATATTACAAATTCCTTAAAAAAAACAATCGATATGAGCTTACTTAATTATAGCCAGTTTAACAAGTCTGAAAATCATATACAATATATTAAATTATCACACATGCAAATTATTTGATCTCATTAAAAGTATTTATCATTTAAAGAAGATATACAGCCATATAAGGATTCATTATTGTAATTCTGATGCATGCATGAAGTATTCCTCATCCTTGAATTAACTTTATTTCCATGCATGTCAATCAATATTTCTAAAATTTACTTATTTTAATAAGTTTGAGTGATTAATTAAATTGTTGCCCGTGGTCTTGCACATTTGATAATTAATCATTATTTTTTTGCTTTTTGGTGTTTAGAGAGCCACAAGGATAGGGTGAGAATCAATCCCATGATCTCCTGCAATTAGAAAGAAAGCTCTAACCACCCGAGTTATCACTTACTCTCATAATTAATCATTATTTTAGGTCTTAATTAAAAATCCAATGTTGGTTAGTTCATTTGGCCTGGTTTACTGTATTTAATCAATTATATTTTATTACTCCCTCCACCCATTATTAAAAATCAATTTATTGCATTTTATCAATCATTCAATCCTCAATTAAATGTTTAGGAAAAATGTTTTTATTTGTAAGGTTATTGTCCTTATGGATCAATAGGTTGAGCTGGTTTACTCTTTCCAACTTTCAAAATAAAGTAGTCTGGAATGGACTCGAAACCAAATATAAATCATATAACTAATAATACTCCAAAAATTAAAACTATATAGAATCCAATCATTTAAGGGTTAGGATAGGTGCATATCTAAATAAACAATTTTTATTATTAATAAAAGATAAAAATTACAAATAATAATCATATCCTGCATGTCTAATAATCTCCCCATATAGGTTTACTTTAAAAAATTCTCCCCATAGTTTGATAATAATCTCATTACTTGGTTATACCAAGTATACTAGGCGTGAACCCGAATTCGTACAACCCTTGATATGGAACATCCTGCTCCGCAACATCACCTCCACCGTGTTTTGATAGACAACGAATTCGAGCATTGATCCCTGTTAAATTACGCATGGGCCCGGGCAACCCAATTAGGAGGAGGAGAGTTTTTGGTCCACTTACAAGCCCAAGGAGGTTCCATCCTAAAACCAATTGGTGATAGGAGGAGTAACTCCTAAGCTTATAAAGTGGTTGATGTTCTCCTCTTTCTCCAATGTGGGACAACTCACTAGTGCACACAATATGGGGTTCAACACTCCCCCTCACTAGTGATTGTCCTTAGAATTAGAGCACACCGGATTGGCAGAGTAATAATCCTCATTGGGAATGAACATCCAATAGAGGTTCCTTAACTAGTGGCTTGATACCCGATTTTTAGAAAAGACCCAAGCAACCTGGGCTCTGATACCATGTTAAATTTCACATGGGCCCGGGCAACCCAATTAGGAGGAGGAGAGTTTTTGGTCCACTTACAAGCCCAAGGAGGTTCCATCCTAAAACCAATTGGTGATAGGAGGAGTAACTCCTAACTTCCTAAGCTTATAAAGTGGTTGATGTTCTCTTTCTCCAATATGGGACAACTCACTAGTACACACTATATGGGGTTCAACAATCCCCTCCATCATGTTTGTGATTCTTACATGAGCTCGTGTCGCGTCGGACCATGTCACTGCTTGCAGCAGCAGGAGTAGGACTAACAGGACCATGGTACTGCGTTCATGTACACGGTTATTGTATATGATGTATATATGTGAATAGCTAGCTTATTTAGTTAACTATCTCTATTTTATTGGAAAATGAAATTGTGTATATATTTTGATTATTTGAGTTGATTTTGTGGTCAATAATGTAGTATTTATTGTTGGATGATATTCAAAGAAGGAGATTAGTAGCTAAATAAGATATAATTATTAGTTATATATATATAGGTTGATTATAAATATATACTCAGATTATTTGTTAATTGTAAATTGAGATAGAATTTGTATCATATTATTTTTGATAAATAGAAACACAATTTAAATATGAGAGTATACCATCAAATATTAGTTTATAGTTTATAAACACTTTGTGAGCTAATCTATAATGTTATAGAGATATAATTGTTACCTATTTTGTTTATACACAAAGGGAAAGTAAATATTATTTCTGATAAAAGATTATTTGTAATCTTACGTAAAATTTATAAGAGAGAATCTGCCATCAATGGTAACAAAAATTATGAGCTCTAGCTGTAATCTGGATATTCGATAATTATAGACGTATATGCTTTGTTTGTGTGAACCTTGGATAAGAATATAGCTAGTATGTGACGTTGAATTTGAGTCAGCAATAATTGATTATTATACTTCATATATTGGCTAACATTCATTCGTTAAGGAGTACATTAAAACAAATGAATAATCCTCTTCAAAAAATAAATTTTTAAGAGAATTCAATTCATAATTTACAATAAGTTAGCAGTATACAATGAGTCAACTTCTTTTTAACATTATACAATGAGTCAACTTCTTTTTAACATTATACAATAAGCTATTTTTCTTAAGTACGTTGTCTATCATAAAATACGAGTATAGCATTTTCATAATCGAGAGCTCCATAAATTTTGTAAGAACTGTTATACCAATCATTTGAGCGAATATTTGTTTAATTTTTTCCATACATAGACACGCGAAATTTATTCACAAGCGCTAGAAGACTTATACTTCGTATAAATTATGATACAAATTGAATTTGGAGATTAACACACACAAACAAATTACTTGTATACACAAAATACAATTTTCACAAAATGTTCACATTACATTTCTTCTTCTATAACTTGGAGGTTAACCCGCCAATTACCCCAGCAATGAATGCTGTAGGATCACCCAAGATTGCGGACAAAATGATATTAACACCACTCCCTGCAATCTCACAACACCTGATCACATTTCCGCCGTCGTCATCGGATCCATCACCGCGATGACTTCCCGAAGTCCTCTTAAGACTAGGTATCCTAGCCTCCAACTCCCTTACCAAGTTATTGTCAACATTCAAGTATTTAGCCTCCCAACTCTCCAAAAGCGTTTTTTTAACACAGGATACATGGAGATTATACATCTTGCACTCAAATACATAAACCCAACCTTGCCCTTTCTTACTACAATAATGGCACGGCCTCGATAGCTTGTTATGCAAGTAAAGATCACGTTCCCTATCATTCAGCACTTGAGGTAAATTCACACAACAAGGATGAAGATCGAACCCACACTTCTTACAATGGTACACGAACCCTTGAGCTTCGTTATGGCATGCATCGCATAGCCTTAAGATCGGGCCTAAGGGAAGGTTGTGGAGTTTGAAATGGCATTTCTTGTAGAAGGGGTGGTTTAGGGTTGAAGGTGGTAAGGCTCATACCTTGTGAAGGTTGAAATCGCAAGCATGACATTTGTATGTTAACCCAATTCTCTAGCTTTAGCTTGTGTTGTGGGTGAATTGGGTGGGAAAACTCCTTGCTCATCTTCATGATTATCCTTACATTTCTTGCAAGCAAGCATCTTCTTTTGGCATATTTGTGTTCAATATATATATATGGTCTAATAATAGATGATTTGAAAGTTACTGATTTTATCTATTTTTAAACAGTAGAAAAGGGAAGAAACATTGGCATCTTTGCTTGAGATTTAGAATTTAGGAATAACTTTGAAGAAATGGTTAGGATATATGGTGGGAGTTGGAAATAGAACCAAGATATTGTAAAGGAGTTAGAAAAGCTATTTTCATCTAGGCGAGTATTTCGATCTTTTGAACCATCAAGTAACATATCTTTATCCAGAAGTCAGTCAGTATTTCAATCTTTTATAGGCAACAGATCTTTATCACAGTCTTCACAGAAAAGTATCATGACGGTTAAACATCAAGTATAGATATTGAACACTCTGCCAAATGAGAACTAATATCCTCAAATTAATGCATCACAAACAATGAAATATAGCTCTGTTATCTTCAGTAAAAATCAGAATGGAACATTAAGATCAAAAGTTTTACACAATTTCTTGATATGCAACATCAAGCTAAGGTAATTACTTTCAATTATTCACTCAATACGTAGCACAAAGTATTAAGAACCACTGATTGAGTTTGATTTTCTAAGTCAATAAGAAGATCAGTCAATTTCAAAAGGCCAGAAAAGCAAGGAAGTTCATGTCGTTGGCTAAAAATAAATGAAAATATATAAACTGCGCCATCCACACCTGAGAACTGGCGGCTTCAGTAAGTTCTACAATTTCACCACAAAACCTCAACAGACTTCTTTCCTGACTGCACAACTTCTTACATTACATAGAATTTTAATTTGTGATTCAAATTTTTTACTATGCATCTCCACTTTCGAACACTTTCTCAACATCCGCAATGGTACTTCGAGCATCATCAATATCTGGTCCTTCTTTCTCGCCAGACTCTTCCAGCTCCGCCTGCAAGTAGATTGAAATTGGATATAACAAAAAGAGAACTCCATTTAATCCTAATAGAGCTATAATTTCTAAGTAACTGTGTAGTAAGACATTAGCTACAGAAGAACTACATTTCATCTTGATCACCTGTGTTATGTTGTCTATTCATTGAAATGTCTTCATGTCCTAAGACAAACAGGGCAGTGTTTTCATGCCTCTAGCACTCTAGCAGAAGTCTACCCTAAGAATATGTACAAAATTCTGGCAGCAGAGAAAGAGATATCAAACACATGGAGGATAAAAAAAAGTTGTACCAGTGTTCCTTTCAAGTCAGCCAGTGCAGACTCCAGGCGCTTGCGACAGTCAGGAATCATCATCCTAGATTCAGCCAACACATTCTCCTGGAAGTAGAGAATAAACGAGCATTGAGAGCAACAATCACAGAATCACTGAAAATAGTTGTTTCCAAAGGCATATGGCTGATGCTGAATCAAGTAGGCTAGTGAGAAGAAATGCTTTTTCTTTAGAAATTAAAAGGTAAGACTGTACTCTAGCAACTGATACTTAATTCTATCCAAAAGGCAATATTATGGTGTAATTGAGAACAAAATGCAAACATTTCTAGAATGGATGTAACACTGATAAGTTATGTAAGTAGAATTAGAAGTTGGAAAGGTGATGGCAAAAGGATATGGGTAGCATACTACCCCCTTTGCATCTCTTCCCTATGAGATTCGATAATAACAACCTAATAATGGCATCATTGATCATTTATACAATGAATATTGGGGATTACACAAAAGCCTTCGGAATGTGCTTCAGAGCCTAAAATAGATTTTATAAGTAGGACTATTTAATCTGTGATAAAGAATACACGATAGACTGAAGTTATCCAAGTAGTTACCCAAAGTCTTTTTAACTGCTTTGTTATCATATATTAAGACCTAAAAAAATCGTGCAAAACCAGCTCACATTTAATCAGAGAATGATGGCACCAGATACCAAGTCTGTGCATGTAAAAATTATCAAAAGAATTGAGGTAACTTTTGTGCTATAGCTGAACATAGTTAACAGCAGACCCTTTGAACCCATTTTTCTTTTACTAATGTCTCAATAGATCTAAACTAAATAATCAAAGAAGCAACTATTTCCTTTCTTAACTCATCATGTGTAAAAGTTTCTGCCTTAACCAATGTTTCTCAGAAAACTTACTTTCGTAATAAACTAGCCTATGGTAAAGAGACTCTTGGACTCTTGGTAAAACAAATTAGTCTGTCATTCTTAAATTGAGAGGAAGGCAACTAATTGTTTAGACGTGCGAGAGGGAAAAGAAGTGAGAAAATATATAAATGGAGGAAATCAGTTAGGAAGGAAATGCGCAGAAAATCCTAAAATGAATTTAATTTTCGTTTAAGTTGGTTCATGGGACTGTTCAGACATACCTGTTGCTTAAGGTCATAAGGATCAGCACTTCTCTCCTTCATCTCAGCTGTTTTAGCAGCTTCTCTTTTGACCTCTATCTCATATGAGTTTAGCTCTTTAACAAGGCGCTTACAAGTGCTAGTCTTTATCTTTAAGTTTCTCAAGGTCGACATCCTGCCATTACAATCCACAACCCAACATTAGAAGACCCGTACATTCAGACAAACCACTCATCAGAGTCATCACAAATCAACTCAAAAAGAGGAAAAAAAAAAAACAAAAAACATGAGTAAACTCTACGGTCGAAGCACAAAATTTCTCAAATAAGTTATGATAAAAGCATGCCACACTTTTTTACATCGTTAATCATCTTTATGAAGCAGTCTATATGCTGGTCACTATCAAAGGGGTGGGGGGAAAGTAATAATAGTAAAAAGGAAAACAGGAAAAACTTGTGGAATTCAAGGTTTAAATTACTAATACATTGGGCATGTAAAAACTTCATGCCTTTATCCAACCCTCAATCTTGCATCCTGCCTAGGCCCGTCCCTGAAAGGAGGGACGACCAACCTGCCAGAGAGAAAAAGGTCCAATTTCATAGCAAATTTGATTCAACTATCAACTTAGGCTTAAAAAAACACATAATTTTAGGGAGTGAAGGTCCAATTTCATAGTTCCACCCTAACGCCCTAGGCCCAGGGAAAAGAGATTTGATTTCATATTGAATTATCTCGAAAATACATAATTTTAGGGATACTTGATTCAATAATCAAATTACGCTCATAAATTCTTTTCTTTTGGATATGATGTTTCATAATCTAAGAATTTGCGAACCCTAAACTTAAAGCACTGATAATTAAATTAGATTAGATCAAATATAAACCCTAGATTGTGAAATTGATGTGATGATAACAACAACAAACAACTTACCTTAGAAGCTGCTTCAATGGGGAATACAAGAATTAGATTCAACGGAGAACGCTTCGATGGAGAACGTTGAGTGCGCTTCAATGGAGAACTTGAGTGCGCTTCAATGAAATAACTCAGAGGCTTAGGACATAGGAATGGAGGCCTTTAAAAGCCATGACCCGCCACTTATAATATGGGTTAGACCCGTCTGATAAATAAATGAGGCGGGTTTTTATATGATCCTCTACTCATGAGATAGATGGACTTTATAAAGGTTTTTTTGTAAATTTGTTTTAAATATTTTTTGATATTTCCATATGTCAAAGCTTGTATCAATTCTTTGAAAGTTTTTAAGAGTTTTTGTTGAAAAAAAACATCTGAAATTACATTAATTAAACTGAGTTTACAACAAACAAAAAGACAGTAACATAAATTACTATTGGCATAAGAAGCCCTTACGCAATATCAATTAAGGTCATTAACGACATTTACTATTTAGCTATTACAACGAGTAAGGACAACGCATATAAGGCTTACCAATATTCATTTAAACATGCGATGAGACTATTGATAGAAAGAGGGAAGTTAGTGATGATGTTTCGTGTTGTGCAAGATATTTTCTAACATACAATTAAAAGTCTATGAATGATGCTGAAATGACGGAAACAATCCAAAATCAGTATGTCTTACATTAAGGGACCCCAATAATTCAAATGGATAAAATCCTCATGAGATATATGCTTCATACATGTCAATCACATTTCTTTGTGATCTGACAAAATCATATCTTATACTCCTTCCGTCCCATAATATAGTTCCTATTTTGTTTTTTTCATGGTATTTAAGAAATGGGAGGAGAAGTGGAAAAGAACTAGACAAAAGTATAAGGAAAGTGGATAATTTAAGGGGGGAAAGGTGAAAAGTTCAATTATAGACAAAAGTTAGAGAGAGAAAGTGAAAAAAGTACAATGCAAGTGGATAAGTTAAGGGTAAATTAGGAAGTTCAATGAATAAAGTAAAAATTAAGGGTATAATGGTCTTTACATACTATTCAAAAATACAAACAGGAACAATATTTTGGGTCTCTAAAATAGGAAAACAAAAACTATATTGTGAGACAGAGGGAGTATATATTCTCATACAAGGTCATGATGTTGTAATGACTTTTACCAATATCACATACAAATGAGTTTAACAACACCTACTACGCATTTATGTAAATCTGAAATTGAAATTTTGCTACATCTCCCAACAAACATAAGTAACACCACTTCCATTAAAAGGAATACATTTTTATTAAAACTAAAGAGATTAAAAACGACAATTTCAAGAGTTAAACGACTCCATTTCATCCTTCAATTTACCCTTAATTCGACTTGTCTTCGCTTTTCGATCTATTATATTAGATGCTTCCAAAATCCAAGTTTTAATTTTTAGAAAAATTCACTATAATTTATTAATCCGAACTTTCAGCAATTTACTCTCAATAATCCCATATTACGTTAATTAGAGAGCACTATGAACTTTTGGGTTGATTTTCTTCCACTAGATCAATTAACCAGTGACTTAAAAAAAAGTTGATTTTCATTTTGTAAAAGCAATGTGTGATGTGTCACCGCCACCTGTGGGACCGACTCCCGACCAGGAAGTACCGACAGCTACTCGACCTTTTTCTGATCAATCTCCGCCTTCTTGTGCCATAACCCGGTTTCCCCCTAAGCTGCTCAATTGAGCCTTGGATCTTATTGCTGTTTTTGCAGCTCTGCCAAGCATTTTGTTGAACAAATTAGGGACCTAGATTTTGCATTTTTCCAAGAATGTCTACTCCACTTCTGAATCCCCACAGACCTCGCATGCCCCAAGAATCTTGATCCAAATTTTTTTTGTAAAAAAAAATAAATAAATTAAAACATGTCCCAGCCAGCTATCATCCTTCCTCCCCTTAGCCCCAACCCCGCCCCGACCGAAATTCGACCGCCTGCCTCCCCTAGCAACCGATAACAGCCAGTCGGCCTTTCTCTACCCCTAAAAACACTCTGGCGACCCACCTACACCATCGAAACCACCCCCTTCCCCCATCCCCCATCCCCTAAATAGCCCCTCTCTTCTCAGGTCGATGAAACTGCCCCTCCTCCCTTCCCTTGTCGTTGAAACGACCGACTTTTTAGCTCCCTCAATTGGAGATTATTGCCAAGAAATTAAATGTAGTTGTGTTACTCGAGGTTTTTGTGGTAGATTTTTTTACATTTTTTTTTACAAAAAATAAAAAAATAAATGGTAGTTAGTTGATTTCAAAGTACTCATTATAATGGTAGTTGTTGGTAAAATTATCTTAAATTTTCACAAAATTGCCCTATATCTAAAGTATAATACTCCCTTCTTCACTTTTTATTGGATACGTTTTGACTTTTACACGTTTGTCAATACATATTTGATTATTATTCATTATATACTTTTAAAATTATAACGGTTGAATATTAATAGAGAATTCTTTGAGATGAATCAAACATGATCTCACACGACTCTTTTCTTCCATGAGTAAATTTAAATATTATCTAGTTCCCTCTATCCCAGTATACATGACACAGTCAATATTGCACGCAATGTCAATGCATTAGTTTGAACTTATTTGTATATAATTAATTATTATGAAAATTATTTAAAATTATATTTTGAAACTTTATATATATACCTATTTAACAACATATTTTATGATAAAATAAGTTTTTATTATGTTTGTAAAAAATTATGATCAAAACTAATACATAAATAGTGAAAAAAGTCCAACGTCTCATATATTTTGAGACGGAATGAGTATTATGAATAACTTTTAAAAATCTAAACATAACCAATAAAAAAACGGTTGAAGTATTATGAATAATATTTAAAATCAGATAATAACCAATAAAATACGGAGGGGTACCCTACAAAATTTATCATCTTAAAGTTTTTGTAAAAAAAAAACCATCCTAAAGTAATTGAAAACTTTAATATACATTTTGTTGATACATAACATTATTTTATCTTTAATAATTTTGATCATATATTTATTAAAATCATTTGATACTATGAAATTTTATACAATGTATCAATTTTTTTGTGCATATTATTTATAAAATTCAAGTCAATCTCCTAATAAATTATGCCGATTAAAGTGATGTGCACTTTAAAAAATGGAGGGATTATTTTTCTTGCATTAAATGTTTGAATTTACGGGTATTTCACCAAATGCCACTGAGCAATTGCAAAATTCACCGAATGTCATCTAACTTTTCAAAATTCACCAAATGCCACCTGTTTCGGGGTTTTCTGATGTCCTGCGGGAGAGTTACAATTCCGAGACTGGAACCGGACGCCTGTACCTGCAAAATAACGGAGACTCCTGAGAGCTCCGCCTCCAACGGTCAAGTTAGTACCTGATTAAGGAGTAATCAATACAGAAATTAAAGTAATGAGATCTCTCTAGGTGAGAGTGCTTAGTGTTGGTAATCTGCGTCGTTAGCGAGATTAGCCGGTTGTTGATGTTCCGTAATAACTCTGTTCTTCTCTGCTTGATTGCTTTTTTCCACCCTGTAATTAATGAGGATTAATTGAGTATTTATAGCCTTGAGAAGCGTGCCACTCTCTAGGTTTAAGGTAAACCTAGGGCTGATCGGGCCTCTAGACTGAGTTGGGCCTTGATGGCCGGTTTTCCCATTTGGCATGGGTGGACACGTGGCGCGTCTAAATTGGTCCGTAGAGGACGTATCTGTGATTGACACGTGGCAGGCTCCTGTTGGCCTTCGTGAAGGACACGTGGCAGAACCTGGTTGGTCCACTTGTCAGACGGTGATTGGTGGATAAAAATCCCCTAATCATTTGCCCCTCACAGGTGGCACGTGACTGGTCACGTGTCGCCTGTGACAGGTGTCGCACGGTGACAGGCGACGGCCTGCTACAGGTGTCACCTTGCAAACGGCCGAGAGATTTTCCCGCCCACATTTTGAATTTGGAAGCGACCTTTCGCCTTCTCACCTTGCCTATATAAGGAAGTGCTGACCTCGGTCATTTTCACATTTGAGAACTTTGCGAGAACATTCGGACCCCTGAACTTGCTCTGACATTTCGGACCTTTTCTGCCTACCGCCTGTTCTGACAAGCCGACTGACCCGAACTTCCAGGACTTCATCAACCGTCACTCGTTCAGGTAACTCAGTTCTCTTACTCTTAATTTTCTTTTTATTTTTTGAAATGGCACCACGGAAGCACACGACACGACCTAAGTTAGTGATCAGCCGGTCACCGGGGACGGCTGAATCTAGGACTAGGAGTGCCGCCTGCCCTTTTCTGGACCCATCTTTGCTCTTTATACAAAGTCCGACTGTATCTGTGTCTATGCAGAACGTGATGGCCAGAACGAAACAGACTGCTAAGATATCAAACTCAGACGGCTCCTCCCAAAGGGTGCTCCTTAGTGAAACATCTGACCAGGCGCCAGATGTAGAACGAGGCGACTGTCAAGCCGACAGTTCTGAGAGAGGGGCCAAGGTGTTCCCTTCCCATCTTACCGTTGACATGTCTAATTTTCCTACTGCTCCTTCTAAGGGAGAGGAGGCGGGCCCCTCTAGGAGAGGGGAGGAGTCGTCCTCCTCGGACTCGTCAGAGGACGAGTCTGAGTCCAGCTCTTCTGGACACAGTTCTCCAGGCTCAGAAGAAAAACATAGCCGCCTACAAGAGGCGAGACTTTCTCATGCAGTTGAGAAGGGGGATAATTGGGCAGAGCCGTCCGCCTCTTACAGAGAGGAAAACGCCCCCTACTACTGCAGGGTACCCCGGGGCCGGATTATAACCATGCAAGACAACGTGGCGAGCTTTATTGCTAACCACAAAATGGGCCCGGAATTTTTACTGTTCGTGCCGGATCCAGAAGACACTGTCGTCTGGCCGGCTGGTACCAGCTATGGTGACGGCTGCTTTGGCTGCTATGTGGCGGCCATCAAAGCTGGATTGCGCTTCCCATTACATCCGGCTGTTCAGCGGATTTTAGATGGGTATGATCTGGGGTTATGGCAGTTAGCCCCCAACTCTTGGGTAAACGTACTCGGCTATGTGGCCGGGTGCGAAATGTACGGGGTGGAGCCAAGTTTTGAGGCTTTCGCCCACATGAACTATCTCAGCCGGACCCCTAAGTCGGGAG